CTGAATGTTTTATAGAATTCTCCAGTGAAACCGTCTGGGCCAGGACTTTTTTTAGTTGGTAATTTTTTGATGACCTGTTCAATTTCTTCTTTTGCGATGGGCCTGTTCAAATTTTTCACTTCAGTCTGTGTTAGTTTAGGTAAGTGGTGTGTTTCTAGAAAACTGTCCATTTCCTCTCACTTCTTTTTGTAATGTTTTCACTAGCCAGGTCTTTGAGAAGTGAATTGCCCCTTCCTTCTTCCCAGTCTGTCTTGGCCTAGAAGCTCCACTGAAACCTGTCCAGCATGGGGGACCTTGCTGTATTTGAAATACTGGTGGCATAGCCTCTGGCCTCACAGCAACACACAAGACATCACAGCGTGACAGACTGACAGACGAGTGGTGGACTGCACTGAATTGGACAGCTGCATGTTAATAGCTCGTCTTTATTGCATCTGAAGACCTCACACTAGTGTTCATTGGTTTACTCACTATTTCAGTGAGGTCTTTCACTAGAATGTAAAAAAGGACAACTGGCATAAACAGATTGGACTCTTAGGGAACAGGTAACTCCTGGAAGGAGCACCTGAATGTGAGCCCACTTCTGGTTGGGCGAAGTAGCGGAGTGACAGGGAGAGAGAAGGAACCTCTGTAGGTAGTAAGTGGCCCATCTGTCAAACTGAGCTTAGAATAGTCTTTGCTTGGTTGAGTTGTTGTGGGAATTGAATAAGCTCATGCATGTAAGATGTTTAGGTGTCCTTGGTCGGTTGCAGTGGGAGATAGATGAGGCAGTTTGCTTTGGTAAACATTTAGAGCCTTGGAAACCCTGTAGGGCAGTTCTTCTATGAGTTATGAGTCAGAATCAACTCTGCGGCAGTGGGTTTAGTCCATTATATGTGCTTAAAAACTTAGCCTTTAATTTTCTTGTTAATGATTACCACAGTTACTACTCTGATTCCTAGCAGGTAGCCTCTGAGATGCGTGTTCAGTGTGCTCTGTGGTCAGTGTGCTTTATGGTTGGAATTTGAGGTAGTTTAGTAGTTGGCTAATAAGAGCTTCTGCTCTTTTGTTGGAGAGTGGTCTTAGTGAAAGATGTAACTTCAACGTGAATTTATTTGCTACGTGTTTTCTGAGCAACTGCTCCGTGCCAGGCTGCATGCTGGGCTCTGAGGCTCTAGCGGTGAATTAGACGTAGGAGGGATTCTTACAGAGCAGTGGCACAGCTGAGTGTCATACAGCATGAGGTCAACCCAGGGTGCCACACCAGGAGCACTGGGGACCTGAGGAGAGGGCAGGGAAGCCTTCTGCAGAGGTTCCGTTCTGGCCCAGACCTAGAGGCCAGGGAGGAGAGAGTGGACAGGCAGCAACATCCACAGAAGGTGTCGGGGAGGTGAGAGCCACAGGCAGCTCTCCCAGTGCAGACCGTGTGGACAGTGTCCAAGTTGTCTGGGATCACAAGGAGGCCAGTTCCTACAGGTCTTTACATGCATGAACTCACTGGTCCCAACATCCTAAGGGGCCCAGCTTGAGTTTTATCCCCTCCCAGGCATGAGTCGCGATGAGACTGTGGCAGCGTGGACAGTTAAGTGACTTGGTCTGGCCACACAGCTAGTAAGTGGTAGTTGTGGCGTTCATTCCATCCCATGTCTCTCTGGCTCCAGAGTGCGTGAGTTCGGCCACCCTGAGACACTGGAGGCCTGGTGCTGCCTGCCCTCGGCCAGGGCTGCCGGCAGGGTAACGGTGAGAGCACTGGTTCCGTTTTGGTTGCAGTGTGTTGGAGGAACCTCGACAACCATGTACACACATTGATTGGTAGTTGCCAGGCTAGCGGTGTGCATGATGGGAATGGATGTCACGGAGCAAATGACGTCATGAGTGCACCAGCACCAGCCCTGATAGGAGGTGGAATGCCAGGTTCTTGCTAATGGGACCAAACTTTGTTTGTTTACGTTAGCCATCTTACACCTGTTTGAATAGAACTATACAATGACTGTTTCCTAGAGGTGAGACTCTCGTGTGTGTCTCTGAGTCCTACATAGGAGTGGTTAGGACATATTGATTAGGGGAGAGTTGCCACTTGAGGAGCAGACAGCATTAACAGAGGAGTGTCAAACTTTCCTCCTTGACTCTAGGTCTTACCTCCCTCCTGTTGGATTATATAGCCATCCACTGCATCTCACATAACTTTTCAAGGTCGCAGTTCTCAGAAGCTGCTGTTGGAAAGGGGTGTTTGCAGGTGGAAAGCATGCAGCCAGGCCACATCTCCCCAATGGTGACTTCGCAAGTGATGCACATCGGTGTTGTTCTTTTTTTCCTCCCCTCTCCTTCCATCCAGATGGATTTGAAGATTACGGACCAGATGGTGGTAACATGAGGGTAACGGCCTTCTTGGACATCCCAGGCCAGGACGATCTGCCTCCACTCACTCGCCTGGAAAAGTATGCTTTCAGCGATAACATCTTCAACCAGTAAGCCCTGGGGCCATCCGCAGGCAGAGCCCTGTTGTGTTTGCATGAGCTTGCACTGGACGGTACTAGTCTGCAGTGATTGCAAGGGGACTCGAGTCTCAGGTGGGATATGGGCCATCTCCAGGATGCTGGGCCTTTGTCTGAACGACTCCGTTCTGTTAGGTTTTTCCACGATTTGTGTTGCTGTTTTCCTGACTGCCTGCTAAGCCAGGAAGGAGCAGTGCTGAAACGTAGCGGTGCTTAAATAGTCAGGATTGCTCACGGGTTGCTTTCGCTCAGTACTCAGGAGAGCGGAGCGCTTTGCTTAACTGAGATGCACCGGCAAGCAGCCCGTGGAAGGCTGGCCTGCTCAGTGTGTTTGTGACTGCATTCTGCTGCGAGGACCTTGGTGGCAAGTTGTCCTGCCCTCTTGTGTTTTCCCTTCTGATGATGCTGGTAGCATTTCACGCCAGGCTCAAACTCTGGCTCATGAAAAACGCAGGAACTAAGGCAGCTCTCCCAGTTTACCGTCTACCCAAATGCCCTTGAATCTGACAGCATCTCCCCTCCTGTCTCTGAAGGACTAGTATCTCTCTCCTTGTCCAGCCCCTGGGGCTGGCCCTCCATCCCCACCTGATACCTCACCTCCTTCAGATGGGCCTCTGCCTCCTGTATCATCTTTCCCAATCCACATGCCCTTTCCTTGCACTTACAGACCTGTGCGTCTCTCCTTCTGAACAGTTACCTGAGCTGCTCAAGCTGCGTCCTCCTTCCCTCACATTCCCTTAACTACTGCTCCTCCTACATGAGACTCACGGGGTCTCTTTGCTCACCTCCCATTCACTTGCTGCTGCTGCTGTTATGTGCCATCGAGTCAGTTCCGGTTCATGATCTCCGTCAAGCACAGGCCTAAGTCCTTTAGATCTGTCAATGCATAGAAAGCTCACAGCAGTGTTGATGGGTGAGTCCAGTTATTACCCCATCTTACAGACAGGAAGATGGAGGCATGCTGAACGGCGTCTCTGGATGCACAGTTCTTCATTTAAATGTAGTTCACTGTCTCTGTTTTCCCTTTTATGGTTAGTGCTTTATATGCCATGGATGTGAAATGTTTGCCTCCTCTAAAGCCACCAAGATATTCTCTTATGTTCTGGAAGTCTTGTTTCCCTCTCACATTTGAATCTGCGGTGCACCTGGAATTATGTTTGTACTTGTGTGTGGCATGAGGTAAGGGTTAGGTTTTGTTTCCTTCCATGGTGTCCTATTGACCAGCACCATGTATTGAAAATACTGTGTTTAATCTACTGCCGTGCAGTGTTACCTTTGTCTGAAATCAAGTGTCCATATATGTGTGGTCTGTTTCGGGGCTTTCTAGTCTGTTCCTGTGGTTTGTCTTTGCACCACTGCCACAGCACATGGTCTTACTCACCGTAACTTTATAATCAGAAGTCTTGGTGTCATAGAGTGTCTACACCCACTTGATTCTTCTGCAGAACTGTCTTGGCTATTCTTGGTCCTTTGTGTTGCCAAATACATTGTAGCATTGCTTCATCTGTTCCTAGAAGCGACATGCTGGGGTTTTCATTGTGAAGACATTGCATCTGTAAATCAGTCTGTAGGGAACTAACGCCTGTATGACATTGAGTCTCCAGCCCTTCCATTGACTCAGACCCTCGGATTTGGCTGCTTGGGCTAAAGTCTGCCGTCTTGCTGTTGGTTTCCTGATTGTCTCAACTGCTCTTGTTGCCCTCTCCCACGCTCTCCCTTTAAAAGAAGTCAGTGGATATTTTTTTAAAATCAAAAAGTACTTTTTATAATTCCATATTTACTATATTGGCTTATAGCGAAATCTTTTATCCTTAAAATTTAAAATTTGTATAGCTTGTTCTAGAGTTTACAGTGTATTTCTTTAACTTATCACAATGTACCTTCAAATAAAATTTTCCCCCTTTGTGTGTGGGGTAAGATGCAGGGTAAGATCCTTGTACCACTGTACTTCCATACCTCCCTCCTGTCTTTTGGGCCGCAGTTGTCCTACGTTGCACTTCTATAGAGTTACTAAGCCCGTAATACATCGTCACTGGACTTGCTTTGGAAAGTCAACTGCCTGTTAAAGCAATAAAAAGAAAGAAAAATATCTTTTGTATTTATCATTTTTACCATTTCTGGTGCTTTTTATTTCTTTTTGTCAATGTACACTTCCACCTGCTATCACACGCCTTTTGCCTGAAGGAGCCCTGAGGGCACAGTGGTTAAGCATTTGGCTGCAGCTGCTCCATTTGTTGTTGTTGTTATGTGCCATCGAGTCGGACCCGACTCAGAGCGACTTGGGTTTCCGAGGCAGTATCACTACGGAAGTAGATTGCCCCATCTTCCTTCTGAGGAGTGACTGGTGGGTTTGAACCACTGGCCTTCTGGTTAGCAGTCAAGTGCCTTAGGCACTATGCTACCAGAGCTCCATAGGAGAAAGATATGGCAGTCTGCTTCTGTAAAGATGACAGATGGCCTTGGAGACCTTGTGGGGCAGTTCTACTCTGTCCTCCAGGGGCGCTGTGGGTCCGAATCAACTCCACGGCAGGGGATGTGGTTGGGCTTTGCTTCTATAAAGATTGACAGCCTTGAAGACCCTCTGGGGCAGTTCCCCTCTGTCCTCTAGGGGCGCTGTGAGTCAGAATGGACTCCAGGCAGTGGGTGTGGTTTGGGCTTTGCTTCTGTGAAGATTGACAGCCTTGGAGACCCTGTGGGCAGTTCCACTCTGTCCTCTAG